GACATTCAGTTAAAGATGTATCTGGTGGTGAAAGGAGAGTCCGATGCTGTAAAGATCTATACTCCATAGGAACCTGGAATGTAAGATCCATGAATCAAGGCAAGCTAGACATGGTCAAACAAGAGATGACAAGAGTGAACATCGACATCTTAGGAATCAGTGAACTAAAATGGACAGGAATGGGTGAATTTAATTCAGATGACCATCAGGTATACTACTGTGGGCAAGAATCCCTCAGAAGAAATGGAGCAGCCTTCATAGTCAATAAAAGAGTAGGAAAAGCAGTACTGGAATACAATCCCCAAAATTACAGAATGATCTCAGTTCAAATCCAAGGCAAACCATTCAACATCACAGTAGTCCAAATCTATGCCCCAACCACTGGTGCTGAAGAGGCTGAAGTTGACTGGTTCTATGAAGGCCTACAGCACCTTCTAGAATTAACACCAAAAAATAATGTCCTTATCATCATGGGGAATTGGAATCCTAAAGTAGGAAGCCAAAAGATAACTGGAATAACAGGCAAGTTTGGCTTTGGAGTACAAAATAAAGCAGGGCACAGGCTGGTAGAATTTTGTCAAGAGAATACAATGGTCATAGCAAATACTCTTTTCCAACAACCCAAGAGATGACTCTACACATGGACATCACCAGACGGTCAACACAGAAATCAGACTGACTATGTGCTCTGCAGCCAAAGATGGAGAAGCTCTATGCAGTCAGTAGAAACTAGACCAGGAGCTGACTGTGGCTCAGATCATGAGCTTCTCGTTGCAAAATGTAGGCTTAAATTGAAGAAAGTAGGGAAAAGCACTAGGCCACTCAGGTATGACCTAAATCATATTCCTGATGAATATACAGTAGAGGTGACAAATAGATTTAAGGAAATAATTCTGATAGACAGAGTGCCTGAAGAACTATGGACGGAAGTTCACAACATTGTACAAGAGGTAGCAACTAAAACCATCCCAAAGAAAAAGAAATGCAAGAAAGCAAAATGGCTATCTGAAGAAGCTTTACAAATAGCTGAGGAAGAAGGGAAGCGAAAGGTAAGGGAGAAAGAGAAAGATACACCCAATGGAATGCAGAATTCCAGAGAATAGCTAGAAGAGATAAGAATGCCTTCTTAAATGAACAGTGCAAAGAAATCAAAGAAAAAAATAGAATAGGGAGGACCAGAGATCTCTTCAAGAAAATTGGAGATATGAAGGGAACGTTTCATGCAAAGATGTGCATGATAAAGGACCAAAAGGGCAGGGATCTAACAGAGGCAGAAGAGATTAAGAAAGGCGGCAAGATTACACAGAAGAACTATACAAGAAAGAGCTTAACATCCCTGATAACCACAATGGGGTGGTCACTGACCTTGAGCCAGACATCCTGAAATGTGAAGTCAAATGGGCCTTAGGAAGTCTGAGCAACAACAAAACTAGTGGAGGTGACAGTATTCCAGCTAAGCTATTCAAAATCCTAAAAGACAATGCAGTAAAAGTGCTACACTAAATATGCCAGCAAATTTGGAAAACCAACAGTGGCCACAGGATTGGAAAAGATCAGATTACATTCTAATTCCAAAGAAGGGCAATGCCAAAGAATGTTCAAACTATTGCACTCATTTCACATGGTAGCAAAGTTATGCTCAAAATTACAAGCTAGGCTCCAGCAGTATGTGGACCGAAAACTACCAGAAGTACAGGCAGGATTTTGAAGAGGCAGAGGAACTAGAGATCAAATTGCCAACATACGCTGGATCATGGAGAAAGCTAGGGAGTTCCAGAAAAATATCTACTTCTGCTTCATCGACTATGCTAAAGTCTTTGATTGTGTGGATCACAACTAATTGTGGCAAATTCTTAAAAAGATGGGAGTACCAGACCATCTTATTTGTCTCTTGAGAAACCTATTTGCAGGTCAAGAAGCAACAGTGAGAACTGGACACAGAACCACTGATTGGTTCAAAATTGAGAAAGGAGTTCGGCAAGGCGGTATACTGTCGCCCTGCCTATTTAACTTATATGCAGAGCACATCATGAGAAAGGCGGGCCTAGATGAATCACCAGTTGGAATTAAGATTGCTGGGAGAAATATCAACAACCTCAGATATGCAGATGATACCATTCTCAGAAAGAAAGTCAAGAGGAACTAAAGAACTAAAAGGGTGAAGGAGGAGAGCACAAAAGTTGGCTTGAAATGCAACATTAAGAAAACTAAGATCATGGCATCCGGTCTTCTCACTTCCTGGCAAATAGAAGGGGAAGAAATGGAAGTAGTGACAGATTTTATTTTCCTGGGCTCCAAGATCACCACAGATGGGGACTGCAGCCAAGAAATTAAAAGATGCTTGCTTCTTGGGAGAAAAGCTATGGCAAATCTAGACACCATACTAAAAAGCAGAGACATCACCCTGCCAACAAAAGTGCGTATAGTCAAGGCTATGGTTTTCCCAGTTGCAATGTATGATTGTGAAAGTTGGACCATAAGGAAGGCTGAGCACTGAAGAATTGAAGCCTTTGAATTGTGGTGCTGGAGAAGACTCCTGCGAGTCCCTTGGACTGCAAGGCAATCAAACTAGTCAGTCCTAGAGGAGATCAACCCTGACTGCTCTTTAGAAGGCCAGATACTGAAGAAACACAAATACTTCGGCCACCTAATGAGAAGGAAGGACTCACTGGAGAAGAGCCCAATGCTCAATTGACGGCAAAAGAAGAAGGGGACGGCAGAGAATGAGGTGGCTAGTTGGAGTCACTGAAGCAGTTGGCATGAGCTTAAGAGGACTCTGGGAGATGGTGGAGGACAGGAAGGCCTGGAGGAATGTTGTCCATGGGGTCGCAATGGATTGGACATGACTTCATGACTAACAACAGCAACACATGTGAGTAAGCCAGGAAGGAGCTACGTAATCACTGAATTTGTGGATTGCACAACTGTTGAGGGCAGAATTTAAAAGCAGTACAAAAGGGCTATCACACCTCCTTTATAAGAATATTTATATGATCAGCTGACAGAAACTTTTAAATGATAGATTCTATAGGTCTATTTCCATAGTGAAAGAACAAGAAAGTGCGTCCCTGTTGGTTCTCCTGGACCTCTCAGCGGCTTTCGATACCATCGACCATGGTATCCTTCTGGATAGGCTTGCGGATTGGGGGTTGGAGGCACTCCTTTGCAGTGGTTCCGCTCCTATCTCAACGGCCAATTCCAGAAGGTGGTGCTGGGGGACTATGGCTCTGCGCCATGGCAGCTATGCCATGGAGTACTGCAGGGGTCCATTTTGTCCCCTTTGCTGTTCAACATCTACATGAAACCGCTGGGAGAGGTCATCAGGAGGTGTGGGCTGCGGAACCATCAGTACGCTGATGATACCCAGCTCTACCTCTCGTTCTCCACCAATCCAGGTGAGGCAGCGGCTGTGCTGAACCGGTGCCTGGCCGAGGTAATGGGCTGGATGAGGGCCAATAAACTGAAGCTCAATCCAGACAAGACGGAGGTCCTGTTGGTTGGTGGATCGGGCTTCGGAGAGGGTGAATTGAACCTTGTCCTGAACAGGGTTGCACTCCCTCTTAGGGACAAGGTCCGCAGCTTGGGAGTGCTCCTCGACCCTGAGCTTTCACTGGAAGCTCAGGTAACAGCAGCGGCCAGGAGCGCTTTCCTCCAGCTTCGGCTGATTCATCAGCTGCGCCCCTACCTGGAGAACGACTGCCTTGCGACAGTGACACATGCACTGGTGACTTCTCGTCTTGACTTCTATAGCGCGCTCTACGTGGGGCTACCCTTGAAGACGGTCCGGATACTTCAATTGGTTCAAAATAGAGCTGCCAGGCTGCTGACGGGGACTGGACGTTATGTTCACATGACTCCAGTTCTCCGTCAGCTTCACTGGCTTCCCATTGAAGTCCGGGCCCAATTCAAGGTGTTGGTGATGACCTATAAAGCCCTAAATGGCTTGGGTCCTGGCTACCTGAAGGAGCACTTACATCCACATATGCCCAGCTGCCCCCTGAGATCGGCGGGAGAGGCCCTTCTCCGGGAGCCCTCCGTGAAAGAAGTTAGGAGGGTGGTTACTCGGAGGAGGGCTTTCTCAGCGGTGGCGCCTAAGTTATGGAATGCGCTCCCCAGAGAGGTCCGCCTGGCGCCGTCGTTATTTGTTTTTCGGCGCCAGGCGAAGACCTTTTTATTTAAGCAGCATTTTAAATATTAATATTATTGAATTTTATCTGGCCAGGGCGGCTTATTTTATATTGTATATTTGTATTTTATTTTAATGTATATATTTTAAAATGTTATTTATGATGTTTTAATTTATTGTTGTAAGCCGCCCCGAGGCTTCGGCGAATGGGGCGGCATAAAAATGTTTAAATAAATAAATAAATAAGAAAGTACTCACACACTCCTAACTCCAGATCAGTTAACCATGCTTATGGGAGGACAAATGGGTAGAACTGTCCATTCCTTTACCACAACTACTCCACTTCTATGATACAAAATACCAATATCAACTTAAACCCCAGTTACAGTTTAGTCACCATTAACTAGTTAATTTTACATGGTACTTAAATAAAAAGGAACAGGCAGCATTATAGATTTACCATAAAAACAACCACATGTGTCTTTCTTATATTAGGAGGCTACAGGAGATGTTATTCAATATTAAAACCATTGGTAGAGCTCTGTAACTCCAAATATGTCAATTAATCTGTTATAAATTGTTAGCATGAATAGGAAGAAAAACCCAGAATGCATGCACAGTGACTTCCAATTGCTAGTGTTAGTTTTCAGATGTTTGAAACCATCTTGGATCACTGGAATCACGGATATGATCAAATTTTGGTGTTTCTGGCATTTTGGGCAAGCACTTTTAGGATCCTCAGAACTATATTCATAGTGTATTTGATACCAGATTTTGTGCTCTACAAGTTAATTTGCTGCTGTACTTATTTCTTTGTACTTATTTGCTGCTGTAATTTTTGATATAGAGTACAAACAAGCCATAAATAACCTACCTTGCTCTTCATAAACAAGACCCATATTTGAATGTGCTTGAGCTTCTTTCTTCCCACCATCAATTTTAATCAACTGAGCAGTTTTGTAGCACTGTTCATAGAAGTAATTCCTTAACCATTTGTCTTCAGGTTTGTTAAAACAATAGGCCAAATTGAGCTGGTTAGTATACATCTCTTCATAGTATTCTTCAGTGAAAAGAAAACAGTACTGTTTTAATAATAATAAACAGATAATAAAATACATAATACTAAAATAAACTTTGTTACATTTAATTATTCTGTAACACATTACATTAATATTTTTGATAGACTGATGCATTGTACATAAGCAACATAATTACGCACATTGCTGTGCCTTTGTGGTATGAATTTATTTATACCACAGAAACACAGCAACATTTGCAGGTGTGCTATATTCATAATACCTTCTATGCTTCTTTCCATTTATTCTATCACACACAGCACTGTTCGACATTATATCTGTGCCCCATTCTATCTCACACTCAGTTGTATATACTTAGCGGGAACAGGTGAGCACCATTGTGATACTGCTGCTTGTTATATTTTCTGTATCCCTTTGGACCAACACTTCCATCTGGTCCTTTGGCCTAGGTACTAGCAGTTCTGCTTAATTTCTGACAAACTGGATTGTAGGCATTTCCCAACAACTTAATAAACATGCCAAACCAGTACAAGCAATCCCCAGGAACACGTTCTACTCCTGAGAATGTCTGTAAGTTGAATATTTATGTAAGTTGAATCATGTAAGCACAGGTCATATTTAGCATGAGCAAGTCAATTTTTCGTCTTAGTATACATATATTATTTTACCTTTCTATGCATATAAAGCACTTAGGAAACACATCCATATACACTTGGCCCTCCACCTTTGCAAGGGTTAGGGGTGCAGGACCCCTGTGAAAGTACAAAAAACATGAATATCTCCAGGTCCCCCCAAAACCTTACTCTTAATACTGTGGATTGCTTCTCTCCCACTCTCTCAGATCTTAGTCTGATCCAGCAGGGCTCCTCTTCTTCATTTATTGCATCCTTATGTTCTTATTCCCCCAACCCCTTTACCTCACCAGTGCCTCCTCTTTGCACCAAGGAAATGCCAGAGGGATTTCCCTCTCCAGATGGGTGTGGCAAGAAGGCATGCTCTGGAGGCCCTCCCTTTCTTTCCTTTTGCTTCCTCTCTCTCCACAGTGATGACAATTGTGCCACAAAATTCCAAAAGTTCCTGGGTTTGTTATGACAAACAGTTTGTTTTTAACTTGAATTTTTAAATTAATAGGTTATATGGCAGTTCGTAAGTATGGATGTTTGTTAACTCCAACATTTGTAACCCTGGGACTGCCTGTATTAGTATTTAAATACTAAATTTTATATTTAGTATTTCAATATAGTATGGCAGATTGCTTAAATCAATACCTACAAAAGTTTCAAGACATTTAATTCATGTGTTTCTTTAGGCAAGTTTGGATATCAATAAGCATGCAGTGTGAAGAAAAAGCAAACTTTTACTAGATTGGAGACATATTACCATCTTCTATCCTGACTTAGTTCAAGGGAAATCTATTTTTCTAATATAAAGTAGAAGCCAGATTTGCACAGATCTGACTGGCTTGCCCTTATAACAAATAAAATGATTTTGATCTGGGACGTGATCTCCACCTTTCTTCCAGTAGTCTGCCTTTCAGTGGGCACTGGATTTAGCACCAAATTCAACCCAAGAAGCCAAGCCGGTAAGGTAAAAATAATTTATTTCAAAGGGAAGGGAATTGAGGACTAAGATTTAAAATGGGAATGGGGAGAACAAGAAGTACAGTAACAACATAATGAGGAGGCACAGCAGCAAATACAACCTCAGTCCCCAAGCTCACCTTGGCAATCACCTTGACAAAAAATAACAAAACTAACCTTACTCAACATTATCTAGGTAATGGATCTCCCAGGAGTGTAGGTCTAGTAAGCTGGTCAGAAAAACACCTCAGGCCACTTTTCTCTTTTCCAGAGGGAGAGAAAAGACTATCTTGGCTGTCTCAGTTTTAACCCCCGCCCCACCTTAAGTAACAGGGTGACATCCAGCAGCCAAGCCTAGTATAACCTGCCATTTCCCAAGGCATCTTCAGCCTTAGCTCTATTTCAGCTGCAGGTAATCAAACACCAAAAGGGTAAAGCAATATAGCCCTGGCAGTTGTCCTTGGAATGAAGCTCACCTACTCCTTTAGTCCCAGGGATTATCAAATAATCTAGCTTTTCCAGTTCTTGGCCCAAAGGGGCCTAATCAAGAGAGAGAGGGGGAAAGAGAAGCGAAGCAAAGAGAGGAGAAATGAAGCAAAGCTGGCTGACTTAGTGAACCCTCAAGTTGCTGCTCCTGGACCTTCCTCAGAATGTGTGCATACTCTTTCCACAGAGATACAAACTATGATTGATCAGGATCCAAGTCCAACATTGTTAAAGTTTTTCCACTATAAAGGGATGGCAACAATTCTCCAATGGGCAAAAGCAGAAGCACTGGACCATCTGACACATTTGTGGCTATAGCCTGACCTTCTCCCTTCCTGAGTGATTTCAGTCACCACCAAGATCAACTCCAAGACCAATATGAATCTCTCTGTGTTTGAATGCACAGCAATGCACGACCCTCCATTATAGAACCCTCTTGCTGTCATAAGGATGTGAATGTTTGCTACTTTTTAATAAAGACCACAGAATGATAGCTAACTCAGAGGAAGTAATATCTATAGATAGAATGGCTTTAACTAACCTTTACTACTGAAGATCGCAGCAGAAGATTTCTATAAAGTTATGCAAATGTCCTGAGGTGAGTACTCTACAATTCTCAAGAAATGGAGTAACGCCACACTTACTACTGTTGTTGCAAGTCTTGATTGAATGAACTTTAATGTGAACCTCAAGTGTTTACCTTTTAGTAACTAAGAATAGGTAGTGCACAAAGACACCATTTAAGTATAATTGTTTTGAAAACAAACTGGCCAAATAGATTGGAGTTGCATGAATAAAATAAAGCATTTATTCTAAAATACCCTTTACAATATCTTTGTATTATTGAAATTCAGACATATTTGAAGATAGTTCTCAAAAAGGGGGGGATGGTACTGCTTTCACAGATCATTGCCCATGCTTTTTGTTCAAAACAAAATTTTATGTATCTCATAACATTATTAGCATGGGTTAAATGAGAAAAACAATGTTCCCTAACAACCTTTCATGCAATCATTTTAATTTCTCTCCATCTGGTTCACAGTTAATCTGAGACCAAGAATAAAGTTTGAAACTAAAAGTTATAGCAATGATAAACCCAGTGTGGAAAGGAATTGTATAGTTCAGCAGTTACACTTCTCAGGCCAACTTGCATTAAACACTGAAATAATTAACTTGAAATGGAAATGTAAACCAGAGAAATTTCTTCGAATCAGCAGCCACATTAAGTCAAATGCCAGCACCTGCTATGGTTGGGCAAATGCCAGAGTCCATGGTTCTAGAGGACTCACTTGGGTGGGTTCCAGTAAATACATTTAAAAAAAATCAAGGTCCTGGCACTGAAATTTGATTAATTTTGCACTAATTTATGTATTTAAGCCACAGTAGATTGCAGCACAAGCTGGTGTGTTTATGGTAGCAGGGGCTTGTTATCATGGTTGTTGTGAGCCACCCCGAGGCTTCAGCGAATGGGGCGGCATAGAAGCTTTCTAAATAAATAAATGGTTAAGAAACTATTAACTACACTAAAACAGCCAATGGATTCTAGATGGTTTATTAACCATGTCAACCACTTGTCCTTGCCAAGTTCATATAACATAGCAAACTATGGTCTTAGCTTAAATAATCAAAATGGTCACCCAAATACACTGCTAAGACACGCAAATTAATTAACTCACAGTGACTTAGTGTTGTGTGTGAACCAGGTCACTGGGTTGGCTAATTCTGCCTGTAGCTGTTTCCTATCTGCTACTGCTGCATATCACGTAGTAAGGTCAGGTGGAATGAATCACCTGACTGGGAGGCATTTGTAGAAACTGGACTGCCTACCCAGGAAGCAATGGGCAGGGGGTAGGGTGCTTTGGAAGCAATCTGCCTTTGGGACCTCATGCTTGGCCTGACTAGTACAATGGAATTTTTAGTTTATTTTAATAGAAATTTTATTTCTAGACTGTCCAATAGCTGAAGCTTTCTAGGTGATTCACAATAATTTATCAAAAGAGTTACAATAAAAATACAAATACACTAAAACACAGTATAAAATCCCAGTATACAATTGTAAAGCAGTTCAAATCCCAATGTACTAAAATATAAAACAGCTTAAATATCTAAGAAAAGTCAGTAAAACTAGACCTAATTAAAACAACCAACATAACCCATCATAATGCACTAAATGCCATTAAATGCCTGGGAAAAGGGGTGGTTTTAACCTGATGCTGAAAAGATGTTGGTGTCAGGCAAGCCTCAGTGGGGAGATCATTCCATAATGGGGGGGGGGCACTGAGAAAGTTCTCCTTTGGTTGCCTCCTTCCAAGCCTCCCTTGGAGTTGGCTGTTGGAGGAAGGCCCCAGTCACAGATCATAGGATCTGGGTAAGTTGAAGTTGGGAGACATGTTCTGTCAGGTATTGCAGTCCCAAGCCATGTAGGGCTTTAGCTGTTAAACCAGCACTTTTGGGCTCAGAGGTGTATAGGCAGCCAATGCAAGCAGAGCAGAACTTGGACCTTCTGGTTCCAGTTATAAATCTGGCTGCTGCATTTAACAGATGCTGCAGCTTCTTAACAGTATTTAAGGGCAGCACCAAATACAGCACTTTGCAGTAATCTAACTTAAATACTGCTAGAGTATAGATGACTATAAATATGCTAACCCTGCCCAGAGAGGGGCATAAGTTGGGTTGATGGAAAGCGCTCCATGGCACTGAGACCACGTAAGTATCAAGTGACAAAGACAGATCTAAGAGCACCCCCAAGCCAATGAACCTGCTCCTTGAAGGAGAGTGCAACCCCACCCAAAACAAACTGAATAGCTGCCATGTAGTCAGAGGAACCTCCCACCAACAGCATCTCATTCTTGTCTGGATTAAGCCAGTTTATTGGCCCTCACCTAGTTCATTGTTGCAGCCAGGCACTGGTTTAGCACATCAAAATGCCTCTTTGTGTAAATATTAAAGGAACACAATGTTAGTTCTTTATCCTGAACTGGCCTGTTGAATGAGCTTACTTCCCAACCTCACAGAGCCATGAAAATGTTACTTCTTATTGTGGCATAACAATTTGGAAAAAAGTAATTTATACAGAAAGCAAACTGGACTTCAGTGTTATATAAAATATACCTATCTGCACTCATGCTTTCATCTTCAAGCCATTAAAGTCTCATTCAAAGAGTTTCACATGAGAACTGGGAATGATTTCATTAAAGTTTGGATGCTACTACTTTGGATGCACATGATTGTGAGGTCAGTACCTCATCTACTTTTCTTTTAACAAGAACTGGAAGATTTGACTTAGGTTGTATTTCCTTTGTGAGAAACAGAAATATATATCATGGATTGCTTCTTAGCCTGAGACATAGGAACAAGGGAAAGTTCTAATGGTTATCCTTGGAAGGAAGCTGCTCTGTTAATGTACTACAACTTTAGAGGAAGATACCATTTTGCTATAGTATACTAGCGCTGCATTTTATTCATGTTGCAGTTTGTTTTGTACTTTATTCATTTTGTGTTCTTACTAGTTTTGTACTTTATCAGTTTTATGCTGTATGCGTTTTAAAGAACTGGCTGAATTGCATAGCAGTTTGCAGTCTCTTCCCCCACCCTCATCCAAGTGGATTTTATTTAAACAATCTAGTGAACATCTGGCTTGGCAGTGAGAATTGAGGGCTCATCTCACCATTGGGGTAATTAGGGTCAGAGGGGACTATGGTAATAAGCCATTTAAGGAGAATGGTGAGGCATAAAAGTTGTTCCTTCTTATAGTTTTTTCCTTGAACTGAAGGTTAGGGTTGCCCTATCAACTTGCCTCATGAAGCTGCTTTTGGTGGACCAACATAGCATTTAAGAGACATCCCTATCCATTATCTAGTTATAGTTTTATACCACCTGCCATGCAAAACATATCCAGGGAATTTACAATAATAAAACTATAGAGTAAATATAAATTAGGCTAAAACAATCACTTATAGAAAACAACAAGAACAAAACCCCAAACAACCCAGCAGCCATAAATTTAAAAATTGTAAGATGCTGAGATCAGTTAAAAATGTCTTGAACAAGCAATGAAACTGTAATCAGGTTTTCATAGGGTTTATTTCTATAGGAAGGGTATTACACAGAGTGAACACCTCATGAAAAAAGCAGCTCTTCTGGTCATTGCAATATGGACATCTGCAGGATTTAGCACACTAGGAATTTATCTGAGAATTATTAATGATTGCAGTGGTCAGGCACATCTATATGGGAGAAGGTTTTCTATCAGATATGCTTCCCCCAGGTTGTTAGGGCTTTACAGGTTGATACTGAAACCTTAAGTGAGCCCAGTAGCAAATCAACAACCAGTGCAACCAGCTGTTGTATATGACAGCAGCTAGAAACAGCAAACAACCTTGCCACTGCATGCTGTATTAGTTGCAGCTTCAAGACCACATATGGAGCTCTACATAGAATGCATTACACTAGTCAAGACAGGATGTTACCAGTGCTTAAATTATCCTGGCTAAGAAAACAGCTACAACTAGTGCAACACATGGAACTGGCAGTGTTTGCCATGAAAGCCATTTAGCCCTTCATTGACAGTGATAGTTCAGTAATTAGTGCCAAGCTACATAAATGCTCCTTCAGAGGGTATGTATTCCTATCCAAAGCAGAAAACCTCCCCAATTTTTAAGAAGAAAGTAGAGGAAGGCATGAATAACTGAAACTTGGGTTGAGGAAGGGATTTGTCCAAACCTTGTTCACCTGGCTACTGCAGCACCAACATAAGCAATAGGGGCAGGAAACTGGTTGCGGCTATCATTTATAAGGAATCCATCATCCCTCAATGGGAGACCAGTTCATTAACTGGATTTTATTGACTGTACCTGGTGCTGGGCCATGCAAACAGCTTAGGAATCATGCTGATGAACCAGTTACACCACTGCCTATCAGGCTCCCTACCCAAGATTGCCTAAGTGGGCTTGAGGCATGGTGTCAACTCACCCCCAAGACATGTGATACACAGAGACCAGAGACCAGATACACAGAGACCAGAAAGAACTTCCAACACACCTGCCTTAGGGCATTTTAATGTCCACCTTGGGACTAATTTAGGAGGACCTGCTTGGGACTTTATGGCAGGCTTGATCTGATTTAAATCAAATCATTTTAAATCACAACTTAAATCATAATTTAAATCAATAGTCAATAAGACTAGATTTAAAACAGGTTTTGCACACATGCCTGGCTTAGCCATAAGTAGAGGAACTTCATTAAAGTATTCCCAAACTGGGTTTCTTTTACAGCCCGTTGCCATTTCATGACAAAGATAGTTTCCTATTTAAGACACATTATAGTCCAAAAGTTATTCATCATGAAATAAGGAATAGTCTTGAATCATGTAGCATGATGCTATATAGTCATGCAATGTTTAATTTTTTTTGGTAAATGAATTCCATTAATCCATTCACAATGTAATGTTCTTCTAGAGGTTTCTGTAAGATTATTGGGCAGTTTTTCTGTCTAGAAGATATTATCACAGATGCTTGGTTTTACTGTTCTCAAAACTGAATTTGTGTCTGCAGAGACCACATGCATCTTCTTTGCAGCAAAAATGTTATAAAATACAGAGTTAAGAAACAGATCATAATCTCACTGTTCCTTTGCTATCTATGTACACAGAATCAACCCATTACCTCTTAAATACTAAGTTTCAAATGATTCCATGTTCAGAAGAATATTGTTGGGAGTGAAATAGATCTGTACAGGAAGCTAAATGTGAGGAGGGAAGGACCAGCAGTAAAAATGAAAGTGAAACCTTTTGGGCAGAATACTCCACAAGTCTTTGGATCTTTTTGTGTATAGCCTGAGGTTTATCATATTATTCTTTCCCTGGAGGAGGAAATCTGTAATGGCAGTAGGCTGTAAAAGACACCCAGTTTAGGATATTTAATGACGTTCCTCTATCAAGATAAGTCAGGCATACATCTAGATTAAGTAGAAAACCATGATTTAAATCTAGTCCTACTGAACATGATGTAAATCAAAGCCACCCTGCTTCAGATACCACAAGAATTCAGCCTGCACTGGATACTACTGAACCATGACTTGGGTGTGGGTGTGTGTGCACACGTGTGCTGGGTACATCATTTGCTGTTGCTCCTCAGAAGGCAATACATCATGAGCCAACCCTGCCCCAGAGGCCCTTGATACATTTTCTATGGCCTTTACTAGGGAGGGAATGTGGTGACCCAGCAGGTTAAACCGGTCACCTGCTGGGCTGTCATTTGAAATGTCAGCAGTTCCAAGCCACGCAACAGGGTGAGCTTATGCTGCCTTGTCCCTAGCTCCTGTCAGCCTAGCAATTCAAAAGCATGTAATGTGAGTAGATAAATAGGTACCATTTAGGTAGGAAGGAAATGGTGCCCCATGACATCATGCTGGCTACATGACCATGGGAATTATCTTTGGACACAGCCATAGAAATGGAGATGAGTGCCACCCCCTATAGCCATTTGGCTAGCAGAGTAAAATCCACAGGGACTCCTTCCTTTCCTTACTCAGAAATCCATGTAGCCTACAATTTTTAAGGTCATTTTCAAGCTTCCAGTCTTTATCTGTTTGTGATTTTTGTTTTACAATATCTTGTTTTAATTGTTTTCCAGTATAGACATGTTTTAAATAGAAAAAAAATGAATCATCCTCTCTTATGGCTGGAACTCTGCACCACTTACACAAATGTTAATGTTTTTAAACATGTGAATCTGGATGCAGCATTGTAGCCTGAAAGTTGAACAATATAATTGCAGTTAGAGGAATACAACTGGTACACTGATACATTGTTTACTGATATATTTGCAGACACCATACCATTTAAGGCATAAAGAATAAGAGCTTTATCCAACTGCATGACCTAGGACTTGTAGGAAAATGTATAGGAAATAAAATACCTGTATAAGTGACTTATCTGTTAGAAGAAAAATGACAGTAATAGCTGCAATTCATTACAAAATCAATAAAATCAATACATAAAAAGAAATAAACAGTAGAAAACCTCTGGAGAAGTAATAACTGGGACATTAGTTTTCGTGTGTATATCACACTAGAGACTCTCATTTTGTCACTTGAATGTCTCATTCTAACTTTAGGTCTCATCATTCAGAGTTACCCATTGTATATTCTATAAATTCAGTTTATTTGATTAAAGCTGAAATGTGTTAAGTTCCAGTAATGTTTCAGATTCATACATGAAACAATTTGGAATCTTCCCCGAGGCACATATTGCTGCTCCATTACCCAGAATTCCCTTATTTACCTGATCGCTGGGCCGCCTCAGCCCTGGTCAGGAAATAGTGAAGCTGATCCAGCTTATCAGGCTGCTCCTCTAGGGACTTCTGCATCCATATGGCTGACCCAGGCCCTGAAGCCTCCCTCAAGGCATTCCACTTCTCTATCAGAGTAAAGAGCTCAGCAAAAGACTTGTGATAACCCTGTCGCAGCATGTCTATGCAGACATTCTTCTTGTATGAATTCCTGTAACTGGGAATTTAAAAAGGCTGATTTTAATCTTTTAAATGTGAATTATTCCCTCTGAATGAAAGAGATAAAAATACACTCATCAACAACAAAATACAGATATACAAAAGCAATTAAAAGGTGACAAGCGTTCTTTTCATCAGCTCATTCTCCTGTGTTAAAATGCCAGCAAAAAAAACGTGGGGGGGGGGATGCCAGAACATCATAAACAGAGAATAGGAAAAAAACTGCAGCAGGAGTTTAGTACTATTTCTACTAGAACTGCATTATAAATACAACAGTATTCTGCAATTGAAATCAGCCAGGAAGGTCAACTGAGTTAACCCTCACAGAAGAAAAAGCACATACCCAGACCTTGATAGCATTTGTTCATTGGAACACAAGCTTGCTTAAACAGTGAGCACCAGGAAAAACTAAACATATACAGCATGTCAAAACAATGTATATGTTAAGTAGTTTTGCTGGAGGTTATGGTGGTTTGGTTTAAAATGACATATAGTATTCCTTAGAACTAGGTTCCCTACATATTGTTTGCCTGTGTTCAATAACAGTCTTCAGCTGGGATTCATTTAGGAACACAGGAGGTTCATAATTTCTACCTAATTTTAAAACCAAATTTCATATTTACAGAGATACAATAAAGAATGTATATCAAAGGTATTCCACTAATAAACATGTAAGCCGCCCCGAGGTTTCGGCAAGGGGCGGCATAGAAATGTAATAATAATAATAATAATAATAATAATAATAAGAAGAAGAAGAAGAAGAAGAAGAAGAAGAAGAAGAAGAAGAAGATATACATTTTCAAACATGTATAATTAAAATACCATCAAGTGGTATTTTAGCACATTTTTAAGGCATAATTTAATTATCCAAATGTTCTTTCAAATAACAGAAACAATCATACAGCTCATGCAAGGAGTCCATAAACCCAAAGGGACTTGTTTGATATAGGTGGCAGGATATCATACAACTTTTTCAGCTGGTACAATCCTAACAGGATATATTGAATTGCTTTTCAAAATATGTGAATAAAAGTTTAAAGACTGGATCCTAACCACTATGCCAAATATATATTCATACACTTCTAAAACAGAAAAAAACCTAAATTCCTTCTTGTATGAGCTGCTACTATAACTTTCAAGACAAAGTATAAAATTAACTATTGGTCCCAGTCTCCTTCCCAGCTTGCCACATTAACCTTCTCCAAGGCCAGTTTTTGATCTTAGAGAGGTGGTCAACATGGTTCTCTTTGTGCTGGCAGCACGTGGGGAAGGTTGGGGACAACAAACAATCCTTTATCTACCCACTCTATTGAGACAATGTTGGCAACTCATAGATTGTGCCCTAAACTACTTTGGTTAGTAGATGGGAGATTACTATTTTAAGATATGTGAAATAGCAGTTTGAATTTGAACTGTGTATAATTACTAGCTAAATCATTCAAAATGCAAAACTGAAGTATAATATATAGACATTAGACACAATATCTAATGGGTATCTGGGTATCTAAAGGAACGCTTGAGTCCATATATGCCCTCCCGCCCCTTGAGATCGGCAACAGATGCCCTTCTCCGGGAACCCTCTGTAAATGATATTAGGAGGGTTAGTACCCGGAGGAGGGCTTTCTCTGTGGTGGTGCCCCATCTATGGAATGCGCTCCCCAGAGAGGTCCACCTGGCGCTGTCGTTATTTGTTTTTCAGCGCCAGACTAAGACCTTTTTATTTAAAACTTATTTTAATTGTTAATTTATTGGTTATTTATAGGATTTTAAATCTTTTAAGCTGAGATGCACCGGGTTTTAATATTTTTATTGTATAATTTGTTATATTTGTATATTTTGTCTTGTTGTGAGCCGCCCCGAGACTTTGTTGCGATGGGGACGGCATAAAGATGGTTTAAATAAATAAATAAATTTCTGCTATAGATTTCTGTTATTTCTAAATAATACTAATCTTTAAAGAAGTTTTTTTTTAATGAAAAACAAACTGTCCACAGGTTTGCTTTAACAGAAAAGAAAGATAAGAAAAGAAAGGAAAATGGAAAACAAAAATGGAAAACAATAACTATCATGAAAATACCTTATAGGGCAAACATGCATTCAAACTCTATTTAACAACTGGAAGAGAGATAGGTATGACATTCCAAAGTTAAGCAAAAACAAAACAAAACAAAACAGTAGTAATAATGTAGAGGGAAAATCAATTTGGCAATAAAACCCTAAAAGGGAGTAAGAAGATATAAAAGAACAGAAAGATAAAAAGGAACCAAAGAATGATGACATTTATAGTCTACCTAAAGAGGATTCAATTGACTCTTTCAGGGAAATATAAACCAGAGTAGTGAAGAAAGAAACGAGGATATGCATACCAACCCCGCCCCCCACCATACAAGTTAGAGGAGAATAGTTCTCTTAGTCATGACTGAAGCCAGTGCTAGAGCAAAGTGGAAGTTGTGACTATCTACAGTTCCAGCTATGGAGAATTTGCATGGTTGATAGGCTGTAGTGTGGGTTATATATTCATCAGGATGAAAGACTGTGCATTGCAATGGCTAAAGATGAAACGAGGCTACTTGGCCAGAGTGCCAGTAATATGGCGCTCTGCTTCATTATTGGTAAGTAGCACTTCTCTAGAAGGTCTAAGGTAATGCTCTGCTTCTGCGAGAATTAACATTGTTATTCTTGTTAATACTATTATTACAGGTGATCCTCCTCTCCAAATTATCCTAGCAGGAACTGTATGTATCCTGTCACAGGGACTGCCATTGTAGTAAAAGTAGAACTGCCAGATTGGAGGAGTTTGGGAAGTCTTTTCACCAAAGAAATATTATATGTGAAAGGGGATTGAGAGAAAAGGATTTGCAAATTTTGGGAGTTCCAGATGTCCCAGGTTTTCTCTTTTGAGGCAGCAGTATTCAAGTCTGGATCTTGGCTTATATAACACTGGTTGATGATAAAAAGAAACTGGAAGGCCAGACAGAAAAACTTTACCATTAGGAAAAGTTAAAAACAAACACAAGCAAAACAAGATTCCAAAAATATATGGCAAGAAAAGAATACAAACCAGTGAGCAATAATATCTAAAAGCAGAAAAAGCGCTAAAGAAGGAAGGAATAATGACCAAGATTTAGTTAAGAAAATGGATTTAAAATCCAAGTAAGGATTTTATCAAGAATTTCAATTCTACTAGAGATTTTCACCTCAACAAAATAAGGATTTTGCCCTTAAGAATTTAAACAGCTTAAATTATCCCCAAGATATCTGATTTGTTAACATACAGTTAATGCTACCACTTAACATAGAATGGGAACTATTTATTCATAGCTCCAATACTAGCTCACAATGTCTAATGTGATAAGAGCAAAATCTCTCAATATGTTAAAAACGTTATTTACTCTGAAAGGCTTAAGGAACATGCTGGTTACAGCTAGAATAGATCAGATACATTTCTGTTGTTTCCAAGACATTAATTAGTTCAATACATATAAACTTTTTAAAATTAAGAATTGGGATAGCTTAGCTTTTATAGCTGAGAAGTATAGGTTGCTACCAAATGCAAAAACACTGTGATTATAAGTGAGATTCTGAGTTTCGTTAAGATCTATCCAATGACATTTTTCTGATATCGGTATAAGAACTTACATTGAAATTACAAGAATTAGCACCCTATGCATTGTAACCGCATTCCTTACTCCAAACTGAGCATTCATATTAACAATATACTGTTCTGTGAACCAACAAAAATGAATTAAAATAACCTCACAGCTTTCTCAATTGGTAGAATGGCCTCTGGGGGCATCTACTGGAAAGTCAGCAATATTGCACTTAAAGTTTGCTATAGCTCGTATAATTTGATGTGATAGATTGGTAGTAATTTAAGGAACAAACCTATGCATGTTTACATGAAAAAGGCTTATGTAACTGGCTGGGTCATGGGAGCTGTATGCCCATTTTCTGACTAAATGCACAATGAATTGTGCCCTTAGTATATATATTGATTGGATTATATTGTACATTGTTATATGTATACTTTTATTTTTTAAAAAAATCTTATTAATGTAATAATAAATCAGACCAGAAGGCTGTGGTTTCAAGAAAATCTTCAGTCTTCCTTTCCCCCTCCCAATTTTAGCTGATTGTTTTTTCCTCCATAAAAATTATTATGAAATGAGGATGATTTCTGAATAAATAGATCAGTAAAATCAATCCCCTTGGGCCCCCAGAGGATTTTGTTTTGGGGTGGGTTTATGTATTTAGCATTTCCAGCAAGATAAGTGACTATTTAACATTGTTTGACTGTGACCCTCTAAGCTGCTCAGCTCAGGGATAGAAATAGGAGCTCAGACCTGAACAAGGCCAAAGCAAATGTTCAGCTGATGTACTCCAGGATGGATTGCCATAGCCAAAAAAAAAAAGCTCAGCAAAGTTTCAGAATTACTGTCTGCATAATGATTGGTCACTTTGGAAATAAGAGAAAGAATCCAGAGAGTCAAAAGTACTCTGTGTTATATATTGCTTAAATGTTTTACAATGCACTACTCTGTAGGATTAGAATGCTTTAAGATGAGCAAATACAATATTTTAAAACAATTGTTTCAACTTCCTGTTATGTTAATGAATTTCTTAATGGAGCAGGGATCCTTATGTGAATCTGACCATCCAATGTCCTCTCCAAATTGAATGCTGTTTTATTTAGTAGCATAAAACACAACAATACATCAGCAAAAGTGGAATATCACCACACTTTGAAACTTTAGAGTAAAAATGTTAAATTTCACATGCAAATTCAAAAGGAATCTAGGAATTTTGAATTTGTCATTCCAAATATTTATGTTTTAGTTTGGCCATTTTATTACAGAATAAAAACTGGTCTTTTAAAAACTTGTTTCTTTAATTGCTTTATGCTTATTTCTCTGCATTCTACTTTAAAAGGACAATATTAAACTTGCACAGATACAACCAGAACAGTGCACATTAAAATAAAACTATGAATTTACAAAC